CCTACTTCCTACATAGTCTTACTCAGCCAGATAAGTGAGAACAATTCCATTCTTATTCGAGTGTGTTCATTATTTACCTTGACCAAAACATTTCTGTAGTTTCACCACATGATAAGGAAAAAGGCACAATGATTCTTTACTGCCACTGTGCATCACACATGGTTCTGTGTGTGCAATACTGTACAAATTTCCTGGAAACCTTCTGTTGAAGGAACAGTCATCCTTCCTTACTGCACATGCACACAACACAGACTACTGCATTCATAATGCTTTTGGGTCTACCACTGAAGGCACATCTCAGGGAAATTTTCCACACTTCTGCATTGTCAGAGCTGAGGATCATTTCTCCCTTTGTTCATTGATAGACGGACAGATAGATTCAATTTATATGGCCACCCAACTCACAAATGTGGCTATGGGTGGCTAGCATCACATTAAAATAATAACAGTATTATTTCAATACTAATATTATCATCATCATCCTCCCTAGGTCTCTGGTTCTCATCCTAGTTATCCTCTGGGGAAGATCTGACTGCAAAGCTTCCAAGTTCTATAGACTTACTGTGCCCTCACCTGTCTGACAGGTGTTGACTTGGTAATTGTGGTAAGTGAGGTCTCTGATTTGTTTATCTTTCTGTTCAACTCACAACTTGCTCACCATTTCAAGACCTGGGAGTATTAGAATCCTGATCATCAATACAGTTAGTTATGTCATGAGGTTCTCAACTCTCTCACACTTCTGATTTCTATCGTTCCCGGTCTTTGGAATATTACCAGAAGAAGTACTGTCTTGCTCTACAAAGCTACAACTGAGCAATAGTTTTCACTCTCAGTACTCTGATTTCCAAAAGGAAGATGGAGGAATAGTATTTTATAGATCTTTAAGAGCTGAACAAATTCATTCATGTTCAGAGGTTCTGGAGAGTGGTGTTATAAAAGATCTTGCCTTTGCTTCATCAAGTATATTGGCTTGCATCTACAAACCTCTGCTTTGCACTTTTCTAGTTCTCTTTCACTTCAGCCCCCCCTCTGGGGGGGTTACAAAATGCATGTCAGTAGCAAGTATTCCCACGTGTATGGCATTCATATTCCTTATACTGACAACTAGTTGTTGGTTACCCATCAGAACTCAGAAAATATCTCACATTCATCATACCCTTTGCTTGCCCAAAGCATTCAGGTTGTACATCAGTCAAAACAAGTACCGTATATACTCAGATAAGCCAAGAATTTTAGATGCCAAAATATACCCAAAACATTATGTTTGGCTTATCTGTGGAGGGGCTTATCAATGAGTATATGCAGAAATACTTTTTTAAAGTACCCATATGTACTTGCAGATATGCCCATCCACAGATAAGCAAGCCTTTAAATCTTTAACCAAAATACCATGAAGAATGTGCCACCCTACCTCCAACTGGATCTCTATTAAAGCACATTGGCTGCTATTTCAATATCCCGCATTACTCATAACCGCTGATTTTAACTGGATGCTTCTTGAAAGTTCTCAGTAATATTTAAGTGCTGAAAAGATCCCTAGTCCAATTTGAAATCTTTGTTTTCATTTACGTGCTACCACACATCATGATTTCTATGGAAGCTTGGAACAGTTCCACAAATTACTCAGGAAAATTAAAGCTGCTTTTAGTATAAATGAATTCCTCCATGGGAAGGTGGGGCAAAGGTCATTAAACAGAATATTAAGAAAACAAAAGGTGGCTGGTTTGCCGCTATTTAATTTTACTGTTTCTGAGTTACAGGTGTTAATTTTGCTATGGTAATATATTACAGCATTAGGTTCTCCATTGATTGTACAGGTGTATCTGACCCACTTAATGGTCTTAGATTCAACTGTGCATTCCACAAGTCCATTTCGGAATAAGAGAACAAGGAGGAACTTTACTCTGCACAGAACCAACTCACATATCCAAATGCAGTATTCTAAAATTGAATTTTAATAATTGATAACCCAGAGGCCATTTAGCTACAATAGCTAGGAACAACCATTTTACATTAGATGGTAAAACTTTTACAGCAATATTCACACAAAGGAGAGAATTAAATTATCATCCCTTGAATGGAATTCCACCAACAGTCAGTTAAAACCAACAGAAGTTGACTCTTTTTTTCAGCCCTTAATTCACAAATTTCACACATGGGGAGAATGGCATTAAAGCAAAAAAATTATTAGTACAGTCCCAAAGTACCTCAAAAGTACTACCTATCATGTGCCTCCATATCCAACTAGTAAATCCATTTCATTAAGGGATAGCTATTTGCCTAATTCATTAATACATGTAGGGCAGGTTAACTAAACAGACTTAATGGTAAACTTGCATTAACAAAACACAGTTGTTCTGTTCAGGATACAAGTAGGAATCTGAACTTACATCAGTTTGGTCTTAATTTGATACTGGCAGATGTTGTCTTTGCAACCAATTATTGATAGCGTTCTTGTTTGGAAAAAAGACCCTCCCCCCCACACACACGTTTTTGCTATACAAAAATTAAGATGCCTATCCCCCTGGATAAGATGAACATATCCTCCTGGCCTACAGTAATTTCTCAGCAAGTATGCTTCAATAACCTACAAAACGTGCAAGTATGAAATATCCTTCCCCATGAGAAACACTTCTCTGTAGAAAATTTGTAAAACCTTAAGCATCACTAGCTTTCTAGAAATGTCCAAGAGACAATAAATGAAATTTAGCATAGGAAATTATAAGATAATGAAACTCTTCAGAGACATCCTAAAGAAAGATGGAACACTTCCCGTCTTTGGTTAAGAAACCTAAGTAGCTTTGCAAGCAGTTTTGAATTAGTTTCTTAAGAAAATCAGATGAAATACGTAAGTAAGTGATATTAGGCAATTTACTAAGAGCTACTTAAAAGCTTGACAATGCTGTACAATTATTAAGAGCTCACTTACATCACCGCCATGATCATTTTAGTCTTGGGTTTCAACTCAGAACATTTGCAGATATATTAATGAACAAAATGCATGTTTTAGTTATGTGTGGGTGGCTTTCGACAGTTTACTCAAGCAGTGTGTGAGGAGCAGTAAGCGACCCTCACAATTACTGCATCTCATGTATATGTCTCTAGTTAGGAGTTCATAGGCATCAGGACACATGCACCCCCTTGTCAGAAGATGAACATAAGTCTTATTCGGGACCCTACTTTACTGCTTGGGCAAGCAATCTAAATTCCTCCTGTTTTAAGGAAAGGCATCTGGTTATTTCTTTTTTACTGCTCCTTTCATTGCTATCTATCACTTGTAGACCTGTACAGTATATATAAACAAACACCAAACCATTTGCAGAAAAATGTAATCCATGCAAATCTTCTTCAGGATTAGGAGTGTGGATCCTGTACAAGAGGCAGGACTTTCTGTGGAAATGTGGCGGAAATTTTTCATTTATGATTTGTCCTTGCTGAAATACTCTGCCAGCTGCTTAATAAAAAAGAACTATAAACAATGCCAAACATTATGTTACTCAGCCAAATACAGCTGTGATACAAACCTAGTGGGGAGAGGAGCTTATTGAATAGAAGAGCATGTCCTCTGCATGCAAATCTTAGCATCTACAGTGATGAACAGAATTTCAGGTAGCTGAGCTGAGACAGACTTGAAGAAGAGATATTGTTGGATTAGTTCAAAGAACAATCTGAATTTAAATTTTGAAGGTCTAGAAGATTCTCTCTCCACAAGTTCTCTTATCGATTAAAGAAATTTCAGGTTTCACATAATAGCCATGAAGTTACAGAGAACTTCCATGCAATACCTAGGCTACCACTGAAGGCTGCTGCTTTGTAAATGTCACGTAAATGTCAAATTTGAATTGTCAGCTCCTGTTTTAGAAAACACAATCATTCTGACAGTGAAGTAAATACCTAAGTTCTTCTGGGAGTAAACGGTGAATCTTACCCTAGCTATTATGAGAATCACCAGAGGCACTATCCAATCAGAAATTCTGCTATTTTTAGTCAACTGTCCTAACCGCTTGCAGTTAGTGACCCTAGATGACAAGCCCACCATTTGTATCAGATTGTGCAATTTAGTTCATCAGGGACCAATGAAATACTGCAGTTAATATTTTCCCAAAAATGTACATAACTTGTATGTGCAAACAGTACTCACTTGCTCCTCTATTTCCCCCAAGGCAAAGTCACCCCTCACCTCTATTCCTGCTTTGTCAGACTGCAAGATCATGTGTACATCAGCATTCAACAGAGTCAAAATGAATGAGGATTATAAACCAGGGTTTGAACCGAGCCTACAAACTTTGGGAATACACTAATCATTAACCATAAAGGGCATCAAAGCAGAATTAGGGGAAACCACAGATAAGAGGGAGCAAAGCTGCCCTAAAGAGGCAAAATGGCAGCATATAAGCTTATAATATACCCCCAATTAGTTGATTAATATTAGACAATGGAGAATAAACATCATTTCAGAAAGTAACAACATTTTCTACCCCTCCTTTCTTATGTCTGATGCAAATTAAAAGGTAGTCATACGTGTATATTTGGTTACATACAGATGACTCTGACAGGTTAATAAAAGAATAAATAAAAGAATAAAAGAATTTCACTGTCTTTCCATTGGTGGGAAAAAATAGCAAAACCATCAGCAGATACTGCAGCTTTTTTCTTTAAGTTATTCTTTCAGCTGTTACCCAACATCTCACCAGTCTTCGTTCTGGACAAAACATCTCTACAGTCATTTTACATACAGAAAAAGGCAAAGACCAATACTTTTCAATTACCAGGTATGGATCAATTTTAAATCACTAAGAAAAGTGCTGCACATAAATAAATGAAAAGCACAGCGCGAGACCATTTAAATTTTATTTTCCAAATGGAATCCTGTTCACAAAGCAATTCTTCTGCAAGGTACGCGATCAATACTCTGACCAAACAGGCATACAAAAATCAAAACTGAAAATAAAATGAAGCCAGCACTGAATGCCATTCCTTTGCCAAGCTATGAAACTTACTGCAAGAAACCAAATCTATCGGTAACTTTGTAAAGTAGGTAGTCTGCATCTTCCCAAGGCTCGATCTGGGTACCTTCACGTCCCTATAGAAAGCACAGAACAAAGATGGACAATTAATGCATTTTATTAATTTACCACTTATGGCATCACAAAGCAACAGCTGCTGGCATGCTCTGAACCTCACAAGCAATTCCTTGTTTTTACTGCTCTATGAGAGATAACCCAGAAAAGCTTGAGCAGGAGATCCATATGGGCAGTGAGTCTTTCCCACAGCTGCCTACAACTGTGCATATTCAAATAATACATGGACATGCACAGGTATTCTCTGAGCAACAGCACATGATGAGGTTGTCTCCAAACAAACCGAGGCTGTATCTGCACTATAATTTTCTTAATCAACTCTGGTGCCAACTGCTCCTCCCATTTCTCCAGTAGTAATTATCCTCCTCACATTCAGCTAAAAAAGAAACATTAAGGAACAACTACAGTAGGACACAAATCAAAGGGGGAATAATTTTACTACATTATGGCTGTTAGCTAAAACTTGGAACTTCTAGGTTCAGAAACACTGCAGCTCCATAACTAGGCAATGTTTATAGACAGCAAGACAATGAGTGTAATACAGGAAATAGGAAAGGAATGAAATCCTGGCTGTGCCAGAAGGCCTGGGGGCCAGATGGGGGCTCGCACAAATGGAGGTGGCTTGTGGGGTGATTGACCTTACCCCCCGCCGTCATCTTGAATGTTTTTAG